ACATCATCGCGCCCTTTTGTTATTCATGTGTCTGATAGAAGCTTTTGTCATCTCCTCTCTTGTTTATTTTGATCGTGGCTTACAAGATCATTTAATATTCGTATATGATCTCATTCTCCAACAACCTATATTCAAATTGTCAGTACGTTAAGTATTGTAAACCACAGCATTCAATCTACTACTTTTAACAATTTAACCGCAAACTAATTTTTCATTCCACTTACAAAATCATCTGTTGACCCTCTAGAACCGATCGATTCCATCCACATAATCACATAAATGCTACAATCATATCTGTTACAAAATTTGAATACCACACATGTCAATTATGAAACATGCATAAATTGCGCTTTCTATTTATGATAACATCTCATACCCATTCAATTTCTCATTCATCTTATTCTCCACAAATTTGAAATGTTTCAGTGGGACCTTTAGATGGCCATATGCTTCTACAAAAATGCGTTCCTGATTATATCTATCTAATATTGTCATCTATATGATCCAAAAAAAATTATGCATTATAATTTACATAATTTCCTTTCATACATACCAATATCTTAGCATCCTTTTCTCTGTGTTTGGCCACTGGAGATGAAAATAGACTATCATATACTGTTGCAACACAAGAAACCATGTTTAACACCAACAGATACCAATGGGTACCACCTTAGTTTATTGTGATTAGGATCTGCAATAAATTTCACACCCAATTTGACAAAATTTAACATTATATATCCGAAAACATCATTTGCAATTCGTATGGTGCCTTACCTTGTCACAGTCGGTGAATTTCACATAGTCATCCAATATCATCCATCAAAAGCTCACAACACCATCAAGAGTTGCTTTGCCCTCTAATTCCTGTTGTTGCATTTACGCGAGAATCATGATTAATTTACCATCTATAACACTACTTTTCAACATTTATTAATTTAACTCACTGCTAAGTGGTATGGAAGGTAGCCAATCTTCCCGAGTAACTTTTTCGATTCGTAACATAATGTCCAGCCGACCAAATCAATAACCTAACAAAATTAATTACACAATCAGAACATATTCACTAGGTTTTAACATTTTTCACTTTTCACTTACCGCACCGCCAACCCATTCCATAGGCTTCAACGTTTCAACGTAGGATATTGAAGCTAATTGATTTCCCATTTCGATTACAATATATTGTATGAAGCATTATGATTAATATTTTGTCATGAAATATTTAAATATCACTCACAAAGCAATATATTTCACTTACGATGATTGTAACCCACTATTCCATAAATAATCACACATTGCAGCTTCGTAATCACCAATTATGCTTGGAATTTTTTCTTTTCAACCTACAATTTTCCATACAAATTTTTGTCACAAAAAAATAATAAAAATCAAATTAAGTTTTCTTTTATTCAGCTTACCTTCTGCTTCTTCTTGGGTGCAGGACATTCTGAATCCAAATATGCATCTATAACACTCTCTGGTGTATAAATCACATCCACATCATTCCTCTTCACTTCCTCCTTCTTTTCTTATTCATATTTTTTTAATTCATCGTATTTTTCCTCTACATAACTCTTCATCTCTTTTATTTAACCCTTCATTTTTTTCCCTTCATCCAATTTTTTCTCAACCACTCCCTTCACCCCCTTAAGTGCACCCCTCAAATCACAACTTCCTTCACCACTCCATCAATTTTTCCACCCATCGCCATCTTAACTTCACCCTCAACTCCACAACTTCTTTCACCACTCCATCTATTTTTCCACCCACTTCCCCCTTAGACCTCTCAATTGCCTCTTCGACTCTTGATTGTCTTTGCAAAATATCAAAAATGAATTTTTTACATCCGCCAATTCAGACATTAAAATGTCAAATTTACTCTATTTTCCCTCACCGTCATCTCCCTTCTACAATATCTTCTTCATTCTCTTCTTCTTTCTCCTCTTTCTCCTCTACCTCCTCCTCCTCTACCTCCTCTGCCTCCTCTACCTCCTTGCCAATAACCTTCAAAATTAAATTACAATATTAATACATTGATTATATTATTAATATTATTTAATTACATTTATTTCCCTTTCTTGCTTTGTCAGTCTTTCAGCTTCAACTTCTTCATCACACTAACTATGTCTTCTTTCCCCCATGCACGGATGCATGCCACTCCGGTTCTTTCATATGCCGGCAAACTACTACAGTCCACCAAAATAGAACAGTACAACCTGCATTTATAATTAAATTTATCATTTTATATAATAACTATACTATCATTTTATATAAAAAACAAAAAAGTCCTTCAACTTATTTACCTCCAAGATTGCTATACACCCTTTGAGGTATCTCTGGCGGCCCTTTTGAAAGCTGATTATTGATTCAATCAATCTCGAATGGACATATTTAGCCCAATTGAATTCACCTTTCAAGCCTTCATCGTAAATCAGCTTCATATTGTCCTTGCTGGGGGATGTATCACCCGTTGGATAACGAAAGATCCCGACAAGGTACAATAGAACTCGGGCCTTCAGGTCATCCCCTCGTAAGATCCGCTTTTGATTTCCCCTTCAAGTTCAGCATATGTTACCTTGTGCTTCAAATCATATTTGGAGGCAAGTGCTTTCCATTTCTTAGTCTTATTGACTTCTACAACACTTGTCTTTATTTTCTACCCCCAAGACGGCTACAGCACATGAAACCCCCAGAGGAAATGAATAACTACCATATTTAACCATACATTATTGAACATCGAATTGCTCCACCAAGGATCGACATAATTCCCTCCGAATTGGTCAAACTCTTACTCCGATCAAAGATCCAAACCCCATTTCTTCCAGCACATTAACTTTATTCTTCTCCTTAAGGTGGTCAATTAATGAGTTCACTCTTTTTATGCTGCACCTTGTCGACACTTCCTACATTTTTAAAAATATATAATATAATTGTTCTTATATATTTTTATCAAAATATTTACAAGTTTAATGAATATCTTATTTCATGTGCTTTCCTCCAAGCTTTGTATTCTTGTCTATCTATCTTTGACCGTGTCCCATAAGGTTCCTTCTCAGCATCAGTCATTGACTTCCATTTCAACACATCATTTTTCACCTAATATTAAGCATAAATGTTTCTTAATCAATACATTAACGGTAAATAATACTCAATGTCAATTTCATTTTACATACTGAACAGATGTGATTACCAGCTTCCTTCATCCTTTGGCAGTCGGTCATACTGTCAACATTTAAAATTTGTAATCAATTTAAAGTTCTTAAATACTTTAATCCAATTACTATTTCAACAATAATAACAAAAATGCATTGATACTTTTACTATAAGTACATATATACACCCTTTGATTGCTTTCGGCTCTCAGCCTCAATTTCAAAGTCATCTTCGCCAACAACAATTGTATAATCCGTTGACTTCATTTTTCCTTCATATATCAGTTTACGCAAATCAAAATCAAATATTGTTTACATACACTTTATTTAATATACAAATATCGATAATTACTCTTGTAGTAAAACAGTTTCCTTCAAAAGAATTTGAATGGCCACTACTACAAGTATCGGTACATTTATACAATCTACAATATCATTTTCTACCTATAATATTATATACAGGTATCGATATTTATTATCTACCTATAATATTATATAATCGATCCCAAATCCTTCTTGGCTTCGAAATCTCCAAACCAAACCCAAAAACCCTAATTCATATTTCCTTCAAACGAATGAGAATACTCAATACTACAAGTATCAGTACATTTATACAACCTACAATATCATTTTCTACCTATAATATTATATAAAAGTATCGATATTTATCATCTACCTAGAATATCACTTTCTATCTGTAATCGGTCTCAAATGTTTCTTTACTTTGAAAACCCCAAACACATAAAACCCCTATTTTTGATTACTGTAATAACAAGAAACTAGGGTTTCGAAAACGTACTTTTCGATTCGACTACAGCAACAAACAAACAAACTTTACTTTAAAAATGCCTTCTGAAATGCAGCAACAATTATGCTTCGATTTCAAAAACTCAGCTGTGTTCTATCTATTTTCAGAGGAAATTTAGCTATGTCTTTTATATTTTAACTGGATATGTTATTTATATTTAATCGATACAATTACCCAAGTCTCGATACTTTTATATCAGGTGTCGATACTTTTGATAGGTTATTTACGTATTTCTTTTACAAGTATCGATACTTTCTTACGTATACTTATTAAAGTATCGATACATTCAACATATCTGGTAGCGCTTTACCGATTTTGTCATAATGAAACCGGTTTTGTCATATTTTTACCTGTTATATTGTTATGTATCGATACATGTTTATAAAGTATCGATACTTTATATGCGCTATTATTGCTTTTCTTTTAAATTCCAAAAGTATCGATACTTATTTGAATGAAATCGATACATTCAACATATCTGGTAGCGATTTACCGGTTTTGTCATAATGAAACCGATTTTTTCATATTTTTACCTGTTATATTGTTACGTATCGATACCTGTTTATAAATTATCAATACTTTATAGGCGCTATTATTGCTTTTCTTTTAAATTCTAAAAGTGCTGATACTTATTTGAATGGAATCGATACCTTCAACATATCCGATAGCGCTTTACTAGTTTTGTCATATTGAACCCGGTTTTCTCATATTTTTACCATATATATTGTTATGTATTAATACATATTTTAATGGTATCGATACGTACCGACAAGCTAAGTTTGTTGGTTGCCAAATTTTTTAATATTTCTTCATGATTTCCACCTACAACATTATTATTTCTCAACATTTCCATTAACGCTAAACCGACTTTATTAAGTATCTTATTATGTTTTCAGTAACACTGTATATTAGTCCTTCTTTCATGAGACAACCCTTATTTTTGTTTTTCTTCTCTTTTATATAATCATTTTCCTCGGAAATACTGAAAAATACTCCACGTTTCTTAAAATTTCGACTCAACCGATAAAGCAAGAATCGGAGGTCAAACACATGAGACTTATAAGATTAGGGTAAACAATTAGTTTTTCTTTTTTCGTAAACGGGGGAATATTCATATGGAAAGGGAGAGGCGTGATAGCTCCATTGCAAATGGACACTACAGTTACAATACTAATGGGGATTGTAGTCTCTTTTGCCATGATTATCGTCTATCGAACGGAGATAAGATTCCTTCTTACGGTTACATTGAACATTCCGTTTCCCGGTTCCATACTCTCGCCGGCGTCGCCATCAAGTACGGCGTCGAGGTAACTACATCTCATCATTTCATTTCAAACTTTATGATAGGATTCTCAGTCATTTTCATTTCAAATATTGGGAAATTTTAAAAATGATAACCTAGGAATCTTGTCGTATATAATATGTGGAGTTAGTGACAAATTGTTGTTATTGTTGGTATGTCAGAAAATATTCAGGTAGCTGACATAAAAAAGATGAATGGACTGGTTACAGATATTCAAATGTTTGCTCTTAAGACACTCCAGATCCCTTTACCCGGGCGGCATCCACCTTCACCTTGTTTCTCTAATGATTCTCCGACTTCAGGGTATTGTATCTTCTTCTGAGTACTAATTGTTTTGTTTTTCTTCCAACTCCTGAGCTTTGCCTTTTTAATACTTGTAAAATTACTCTCCGAATGTTAATTGCATCATAGTAATTGTTTCTCAGAATATAGCCTCTTTAATCGAACTGAACTTCTGCAGCTTCCCTTCATAGAAAGAGGGATAGAGATGAACATTATTAATCCGATGGTTAATCTGAACGATGGATTAATAAAATTTCATCCGAATAATGGATTGTTGGACTCCTTAATTGGCCGCTAGATGTTCAATTTTTTTTTCTGGGGCACTGCTACAAATAGTGATTACTCAGATTCAATGCCCCTAGACACACTAGGAAATTGATAATCGATGTTTCAGTGGAGTTATTTAGCAAAGTTTTCATCTAAAACGAGTTGAGTTTGACTGTTGAATACAGCACGATTCGTATGGTTCAAAATTGAACTCAACCTGACTTGAAAGCTCACGAGTTTAAATTTGTCAAGCTCAAATCAAATTCGAAATCAAAATTTGAAGCTTGACTCAGACTCGAAAAAACTTTTACTCAAAACATTCTTAAACTCGATTGAAGCTCAAACTCACACATGAACTTTAAGTACATGAAAACCTTATATTATATTTTTTTAAAAACATATAAATACTAAATTATTAATAATTTAATTTAAAAAATTAAAATTTTAATATATTATTTTTTCAAGTTTTTAAGATTATCAAGTAGCTCGTTTTGGTTCATTAAGAACTCGAATTAAGTTCGAGCTCGAGTTGAATCCATTCAAATCTAGTATTAACCGAGCTTTGAATGAGTCGAACTCAAATAAATTGCAATCTATCTTGTCTTAGTTACAGCCCTAAATGCAACACATTGTTGGACTCTTCATTAGTTGCTAGATGTAAATATTATTTTCTAGGGACATTGTTACATATGGTGATACTCTAGATTTGATAACCTGGGCATGCTAAGAAATACTTTCTCTATGATGTGAGTTCTTAAGAACTTGATAGACAGTGTTTCAGTAAGAACGTGAGGGTAGCTTTTTTTTAATCGTTAAAATCTTGCAGGATGCATCTCTGGTCTGTGTGTTTCCTAATTTTGATCAGTTTTTTCGATTGAGCTCATATTGTACAACTCTTTGCAGGCAAAGCAGTGGCCACCAAACCCCGAAAAAATTTCCAGCCTGATTGGCTCGAATCATTCAAGTCTTTGAGACTGAAGAATCCTCGAAAGGTGTCCCAAGCGATGAGCTCGTTGCAAGGTTACTATGGCCTTAAAGCAACAGAAAAAAGGTTGGTGTCCGAAGTTTCTGAAATGGCAGTATGCAGGAAAGGAGAAGCTGATTATGTGGATGATGGTCTGTCCCTTAAACACTCCAACACGCTTTTGAGGCTTAAACGGAAGAGTAGAAGCGTAGCTAACATATTTTACAAAAGAACAATGAAATCTTGGTGGATATTGTTGCGGAATACGGCTATCGGATAGAGCAAAATTGTAATTGATAATTTGAAAAAATAAAGATGAAGATAAAGAAACACAAATTTTTACGCGGAAAACTCCTAAATAATATAGGGTAAAAATCATAGGCAAAGATAGAAGAATTTCATTATGAGAAAATAGGAATTACAACTTCTCTCGATCTAACAAGGAGAAAATAATAACATTTTTCTCTTGATAAAAAGGGGAAAAAACTCTCAAGAAAACTCTCTAAATTCTCTAGTATTGAGAGAAAGCTAGAATGATTTGGGATGATTTTGAAGCTAAATGGATTAGGGTATTTATAGTTGAAGTTTAAGGACTAATCTTGTAAATATTCTAAAGTAAAGGGACTAAATTTGGTAATTTTTCCTTGCTAATTTTCAACCAAAAATAGCTTCCAAATTGGACCAAATAATTCACTCTTCAGCTGCCCCATTAATGTTGCCATCTTTTTTTACTTTCAACAATCTCCCACTTGAAGATTTGATTAGAACAATCATATCTTCACACCCTTCTTTGTACCTTGTACCATCATGTTACTTATATTTCTGACAGGCCACAAGAGGATCGACATCAAGTAAATTTATCAGCATTGATTGCTTTCGTCATGAAATCTGCTATGTTGTCTTTGGTATAGATTTTCTGCATATTTACAGTCCCTTCTTTCACCTTTTCATGAATGAAATGATACTGAACTCGTATGTGCTTTTTCCTTGAATGAAATGATGGATTCCTTGCTAGATGCAAGGCACTTTGACTGTCACAAAACAGAGAGACATACTCTTGATTGTGCTCAAGCTACTCCAATAGTATCTTCAACCAAATTGATTTTTTACTGACTTGTGTAGCTGCTACATATTCTGCCTATATTGTGGATGTAGCTACAACTGACTGCAATTTTGAAACCCAGTTTACAGCTCCACCAGCAACTTTGAACGCATATCTTGTAGTAGTTTGCTTTTATCCAAATCCCTTGTATAGTCAGAATCAACATACCATTTGATAATTAAGTTTGATCCTTCGTAACATAATGCAACATTTGAGGTCTCTTAGATGTATTTCAAGATCCTGTTTATTGTATTTCAATTCTCTTTGCCTAGATTCTCCATGTATCGACTAACTACTCTCACTGCTTGTGCAATGTTTGGTCTTATGCATATCATAGCGAACATTAAACTTTTCACTACCGATGTAAACGGTACTCGAGACATCTTCATCCTCTCTTCTTCATTGTTAGGACACATAATGGAGGATAATTTGAAGTTAATAGGAAGAGGGGTAGAAATTGGCTTACAATCTTGCATGTTTAATCGTGACAAGATCTTCTTCATGTATTTCTTTTATGAAAGCCAAATCTTCTATTACTTCTGTCTCGATGAATTTGCATCCCCAGAATCTTGTTTGCTAATCCCAAGTCCTTCATTTAAATTCCCTAGCCAGTTGTGCCTTCAATTCTTCAATATGATCTTTGTTGGGTCATGCAACCAACATGTCATCCACATACAACAATAATATAACAAAATTGTTATCACCAAACCTCTTGAAATAAGCACAAGGGTCTGCATTAAGTCTGTTTTATCCAAGGCACATAATGAAAGAATCAAATCTCTTATACCAATACCTCGGTGCCTGTTTTAGACCGTACAGAGATTTGTTCAACTGTAAACCAAGTTATTCTTTTCTTTTTCTTCAAAATCTTTAGGCTGGAGCATGTAAATCTCTTCTTCAAGATTTCCATGAAGAAAATTTGTTTTAACATCTAGTTGCTCTAGATGTAAGTTCAATGTAGAACACATTACCAAGACTACTCGAACTGTTGTTAGTCAAACCACAGGAGAAAAGATTTCATTGAAATCAATACCTTATTTTTAAGCATATCCTTTGACCACCAATCTTGCACGATACCTCTCCACTTGATTGTTACCATTTCACTTGATTTTGAAGTCCCATTTGTTACCATTTGGCTTCCTTCCTTGTGGTAGTGGAACAAAGTCCCATTATTATTTTTATGAAGGGCTTCAATTTCTTCTTGCATCGCCATCATCCACAGTGAAGCATCTGAGATGTTTATTGCCTCATGGTATGTTGATGGCTCACCGTCCTCTGTTAAAAGGCAATATGCAATATTTCCTTCTATAACATAATTTGAGTGCCAATTGGGACGTCTTCTCACACAATCTGATTGACGAGTTGTTGGAGTTTCAGAACTCTCTGGTTCTTGTTCATCATGTGCTGGTTCTGCTTCAGAAGAATCTCCTTGCTCAAACTCATTTTCCACATATATCTGTGTAGTCTCTGACTTTTCAGTGCTATCATCTTCTTCTTTTCTTTGTATTTTATCTTCTACAAAGATAACATCTTTGTTGATGATCACTTTGCGGGTAGTTGGATCCCACAAGCGATACCCCTTTACTCCATCAGCATACCCCAAGAATTTGCATTTCCTGGATTTTGGATCCAGCTTTGAAATTTCTTGGGAGTTGTATATCACGTACACAATACTTCCAAATACATGGAGGTTTGAACAATCAGCTGGTTTACCAGTCCACATCTCCATTGGTGTCTTCAGCTCTATTGCAGTTGATGGAGCTCGATTCACCAAATAACAGGCGGTATTGACTATTTCTGCCCATAATGATTTTGCTAGGCCTGCAGCACTCAGTATTACTCTTGTTCTTTCTAACAAGGTTATGTTCATCCGCTCTGTCACTCCATTTTGTTGAGGAGTGTTCGCCACTGTGAACTATCTTTTGATGCCTTATTTCTTGCAAAAGTCATCAAATTCTTCAATTGAGTATTCTCCTCCATTATCTATTCTGAAACACTTGATCTTATTTTCAGAATCAAGTTCCACCCGTTCTTTGAAGTTTTTGAAAGTTGAAAACACATCTGACTTCTTCTTAATAGGGTACACCCAATATCTCCTAGAGTAGTCATCAATAAATGAGACAAAGTATTTTGTTCCGCTTAGGGATGTAACTAGTGTTTTCCATACGTCAGAATGAACAAATTCTAGAACACTTTTGCCTCTAGAATTTGACGTGTTGAATTTCAACCAGTGCTGCTTACTTGTTATGCAATGCTCACACAAAGTAAGTGATGTCTTTGTTAAATCTAGAAGTAGCTTTTGCTCCACAAGAACTTTCATTCCTTGTTCTGACATGTGTCCAAGTTTCTGATGCCATAGCATTGCAGAATTTGAACTACATGAGGCAACAGAGACTTCTGCTTCTAGCAAAGTCTCACCCTTCAGCATGTACAAGTTTGTTGCTATCTTTTCGCCTTTCATCACCACAAGCGCTCCACGTAATACCTTCATGTTCCTTTCCGTGTTTTAATCTTGCTTGCATTATTATCCAACCATCCGTATGATAATAAATTTTTCTTCAGGCCTTTCACGTATCGCACATCTTGAACAACTTTAATTGTTTCATCATACATCTTCAATTTGATGGTTCTCACGCCAATGATCTCTAAGGCATGACCATTGCAACTATACACATATCCTTCTGAGACAAGTTCATAATGATGGAACCATTCTCTTCTTGAGGTCATGTGATATGTTGCTCCTGAATCAATGAGCCATATATCTGCAAATCTCTTTCTACCTTCCACGGTGGTTGATGCTTCACAACATAGAGCATTTCCATCATCTGAAGTGTTTGTGGTATTTCCTTGTGGATTGGAGTTTTTACTTAGACTCCAACAATCCTTCTTCAAGTGGCCCTTCTTTCAACAGTTGTAGCACTTTAAATTCTTTTTGCTTATTGATTTCAATATACCATGTTTGTGACTACTGCTTTGGTCACGTTCTGTTGATCTCCCTCTCATCATTGTTAACGCTTCAGCTTGTTACAGATTTACTTTTCTGTCTTCCTTTCTCTTGCACCGATTTTCTTCTTGTAGAACAGCAGCTGCAACATCATCGAAGACTAGACTGGTGATATTATTGTTTGTCAAGTTAATGATGAGTTTATCATACGAATCTGGTAGACTTTGAAGTAGAAGTTCAGCATGTTGTTATTCTCCTATTGTACAGCTTAAGGATGTAAGTTGAGAAAATAAAGTGTTCAGTGTGTTTAAGTGCTCCGTCAAGGAAGTAGATTATGGCATCCGGAGAGTATACAATTTCCTTTTAAGGATAATTTTATTGTGCAACGATGTGGCCTCGTACAACTTGGTGAGATGATCACATATCTCCTTAGTTGTCTTCTTCTCCTCAATGCTTGACAATATTTCATCTGCTAATGCTAGATGAAGGTTTGCTATAGTATTCCCATATATCTCGTTCCATTTGCTGTCATCTGTGAAATCTATCGGTCTTTCACTGATAGCTGCTAGACAACTGTCTTTCCTCGGGATGACCTTCATCTTCAATTTCCACAATGAGAAATTTCTCACATTAACTTTTCAATATCAAAATTCATTGTCATAACTTCTACTACGGATAACTTCCACTATTTCACTTTCGTGAATAGTTCTTTGGAACCTTCAAAGAATGTGTAATACCTTCTTAATTCCTTATGTTGGAGGATCCATCTTTTGGTGGTCACCACAAAAGCAATAAATAGATATTACACACTCTAGTCTGGCTCTGAATGCCAATTGTTGCGGAATACAGCTATCGAATATAGCAAAATCGCAACTGATAATTTGAGAAAATAAAGATGAAGATAAAGAAGATACAAATTTTTACGTGGAAACCCCCTAAATAATATAGGGTAAAAACTACAGGCAAAGATAGAAGAATTTCACTATGAGAAAATAGGAATTACAATTTCTCTCAAATCTAACAAGAAGAAAACAATAACAATTCTCTCTTGATAAAAAGGAGAAAACAACTCTCAAGAAAACTCTCTAAATTCTCTAGTATTGGGAGAAAGCTAGAATGATTTGGGATGGTTTTGAAGCTAAATGGGTTAGGGTATTTATAATTGAAGCTTAAAGACTAATCTTATAAATACCCTAAAGTAGAGTGACTAAATTTGCTAATTTTCTCTTGCTAATTTTCAACCAAAATTAGCTTCCAAATTAGACCAAATAATTCACTCTACAACCGCCCCATTAATGCTGCCATCTTTTTTTACTTTCAACAGATATCATGTCTGCCGGAGAAGGCAAAGATGGCGAGCCTGAGAAATCCAACGAGAAACTGATTAGAAGACGGCAGAAACCCGAGGCTGACTTTACTGCCCGCTTTTTGAAGGAGGAAAACGACAACAGTGGTGGTGGAAGGTTCTCATTATCGAAACGACTGGCACCTAGACCGAAAGGCGGAAACCGCATGAGTTCAGGGACAGTGGCAGACATTGAGGCGGGGAGGTTTGTTATAGCATCGAAAATCGTAGGAGGCAAATTGGATGGATTCGAAGTGAGGAAGTCATCAAGCACATCGCGTTTGCATGATCATGAGGAGAATGGCAGCAGTAGTGGTGGTAGTAGTAGTTTGACATCACTGTGGCCAGTGTCTGCTCGTAAAAGCAAAACAGCGCTTGATTAGCTTTACTAGCGTAGCGTCAAATGCCATCCCCAAACTGCTATTTCCATTAGTACATAATATACAAAGAAAAAAAGAGAGGATCTTGAAAGACAACACTTCATCAATTGAAATTAAACAACAATTTATTTTTTTATTGTACCTTTTTGCCAACAAAACTTTATATAGTATCAAAACCCTTTTTACTGCTAGAAAGAAGCAATTAAACCGTGAGCCATTGGTCTTGGATCAATAATTTCATCTATTAACCCAAAGTCTTTAACTTCTTAATGGAAGTCATTTGCCGATACATGGGTAACCTTGAGATTCAAGTTCGAAACTTTTTGTTATAAAAAATTGAAACATTTTGCTCTTATATAATATGTAATTTAATGTATCAAGTTAAATTTACACGATCAAAAGATCTTAATTCAGTAGATAAAATTATAAAATACATTAACAACACAAGACTTCTCATTAAATCAAGTAATTATGAACTTATTATTTATGCACAAATTAAAATGTCAAAGGATTCTCATAGGCTAAAGCTTATTCAAGTGTACAAAGAGAAATTATTTCAATAAAAGGCAACTTAGAACTAGTCAGCTTTATACAAACATCCCAACAGATACCAAATATTTACTATTTGAAGCATAAAATAATTTTCATGTAATTTTACATATTTTTATAATAAAACTTAACTAAGATTGTTTTTTTTAATTAAATTACAATTTCAACAGTTCATTCAGTTAAAAATAATCTATTTGTAAACATTCCTTTACTTTTAAACTCAGTTTCCATTATGTTACCGATTTAGATCTTTTCAATAGACAAGTAAATCAATTTCAACATCAGAACTAGTGAAACAACCGTCAACAATGAGTGCAACCAATGTCATTATGTAAACTTAAAAGAACACAATATCGTCTGTAAACAACATTAGAGAACTAAAAGCGAACTTAACAAAATTCCAAGTAAACCACATTTAGAAAAGAGATGTTCCCTTCCCCTTCTTGTCTCCACCAATCTCAAAGTGCTTGCACCTCTGCAAAAACCCAGCATCCAAAACACAATCACAAGTTAGTTCATTAAACAACATGGTTAACGGAAACAAAAAACCCAGTATAAAAAAACAACCAAAAGTTAGGTCATTTAAACATGGCTCTCAATGCACCAACCTTGATTGGATGTTGGGAGACATGCTTGCAACCCTGGCATTGAAGCCTTAGCACAATCTTCTTGGTGGTTTTTGCCTGTTCAGAGGATACACAGTCATATATATGTAAAGGCATAAACACACTTGAAAAAATGGCAATAATCGGATTGACAAAACCTAGTATGGGAATATTGATCTTCTCAAATAGACATCCAACATCCAATCTGAGTCTTGGCCACTCAAGAAAGTGGCAATAATTGAATTGAAAAATGGTTAACCAAACATTGCTTACAATCTAGTACCGGAATATGCAGCACAAGATTATTGATCTTTTAAATTTACATCTCACAAAGAGTCGAGGGCTTGACAAAATGGATAACTAAACAATTGCTTACAACCTAATACCAGAACTTGCAACATAAGATAATTGATCTTTTCAATAAATATCTAACATCCATTAAAGGGAAAAAACATGAGTGAAATGATATTTACCTTCTTGTGGAACACTGGTTTGGTCTGACCACCATAACCTGATTGTTTGCGATCATAACGACGCTTCCCTTGAGCAGCCAAACTATCCTTACCCTTCTTATACTGTGTAACTTTGTGCAAAGTGTGCTTCCTGCACTCCTTGCTCTTGCAATATGTCTTCTTCGTCTTAGGCACGTTCACCTGCAATACCAATTCATAAATAAGCTCAAAAGAAAAAAAATGTTGTAAATGTAGCAACCATTTCCACAATGAAAACCTAGGTTAGACTTCATGGACATATAGCTCTTCTACAACCAATATTTACCCTTTGCTATATCATCAAAGTTAGTTTGACTCTAGGGTTTCTGAGAGCAACCCTATCATCAACTCAAGACCAATTTTCAGATTCATCACTTGGTATAGTTACCGTTGATTCATCAAAATAAAATAAATTTTCCAACTTCGCTGGCAATTTCTTGAATTTATTACACCAATGGCAGAAGGACAAAATAAATTCACCATAAATTTCTGGAAAATGGAAAAAAATAGAAGAAAAAGAAATTACAAACCGTACATACCTACCCAAATGCTCTTATACAATAATGACCATAAGATTAACAACTTATTCGACTAAAACATTTTGTAATGGAGAAAAAGATGAGATCCAAAACATGCTCAAAAGATAATAAAAAAACAAAACAAAGAAAAGAAAAAGAAAAGATACCATGGTAGCAGCTGAAGAGCGATGACCCGTGCTCTGTATCGGAGTGGATGTTGAATTAGGAAGCAGTCAATGAAACAAATCTAGGGTTTTAAAAGGGCTCCCTTTTAGGGCTAGATTTTGGGCTTAAACAAAAGAAGCCCATTTTGGTTCTCAAATTTAATATTTAATTTTTGTTTTTGGATAACCTACATATTTAGTGCTTAAATTATCAATATTTATCCGTATTAGTACCTTATCTTTCAAATTTTTAAAATCATATCTAACGTTTAGGTTTTATTTTATTTTAGTACCCGACGTTAAAAACTTAACTCATTTAGTACCTAAACTATCACTTTTTGGTCTGTTTTAATTCCTAAACTTTCAATTTTTGTTCAAAATTTAACGTTAAATTTTAAACAAGGTATTAAAATGAAATAAAAACTAAATTTTAGGTATGTTTTTGAAAAAAATAAAAGATTAGGTACTAAAATAGATCAAAATTGATTGTTTAAGTACTAAACTTGTAATTTATCCTTGCTTTTTTAATTAATTTGCTGAATTGTAGTATTTGATTTTTATTTACATAGTTTAAATAAATTTATTTTTATCTTCTATAAGGCCACTTTAATTTAAAATTTTTACCTTTAATTTTAATCCAAGTCAGAGAAGAAAATATTTTTTTTCTAAACTACTAAGATCACCTAATAAATCTTTTGCCGGACATTAATATGAAATACATAGAGTTGAACTATAATTCATTATCGACGCTAAATTTTTCATAGATCTGTAAAAAAAAGTGAACTGCTACAGCCTACAAGTATTTCTAAACATGAGGAGATCGGCCAGCTTTTGGTTCAAGGAATGGTGTCTTGAAGACTCTTGTTTCGGTGGCTACTACTTCACTTTGCGATGAAGAAGCGCTGTCGAACTACAACGTTAAGTAACTCGATCGGAGCGAAGACCATCGTGGTATACTCCGGTCGACGAAGAGGAGGACCAGCGGAGATGGAAGCTAAATCCGGGGATATGAGGTATTGAAAATTTTCAAAAGGAAAAATGGAGCGTAGGTAGACATAGAAGCTGGGAGTTCTATGGTCATTTTCAATGGTTTTTCCTCTTTAAATTTTTCAATAAATGCCATGAATACTTTGAGTGTCTAATTCATGTGAAACATTTTACATACAATGTTTGTGTATAATTTATCTAACAAATAAATTTTGTGTATGTTCGTCTATCTTTTTGATACATTTTAACTATGTTCTTGTGGTATATTTCTTTTATCTTATGGTACGTTATTCGTCTACCTAGATATGTGATGGGGTAGAGATTCTCATGTCGCTTGTATTTAATTTACGGTTGTTGATGATTTTTTAGTGGTTAAATTTTCTTTTGTAATTGTTTGTCCATTTTGCTTGTTACTTCTTCATTACTTCTAAAGCATCTTAGTTGAATAGAAATAAAATAGTACTATAGACTATTTCTAAGTTATTATAAATGATGTATGTTAGATTAAAAGAAGACTCCGATTGCTATTGCACTTTAAGATTTTCTTTTTCATTTTATTTTATGTTTCGAGCTTTTATTTTTATTTTTTATGTACTTAATTCTCTTTTGTTTGTTTACATTATTAATGTGACGGTGGGAGATTGTGTTATGGCAGTGTAAAAATATAGGGCATCATTTCCGTCCTCTTGAATGAATATTTCGCCATACATGGTTCTAAGACTTGCACGTTTCAATCATATTCTAAAGAGATAACAATAAAAAAATAGGGTAAACTACAAGTTGACCACTTAACTATTTAGCCTTTTTACTTTTATCACCAATCTTTCAATTTTGTCAATCACACCACCTAACTATTTAATTTGTTCAATCGGGCCACTAGGCGTTAATATTTGATGAAATACTGACGTGGCAATTAAAATAAATTAATATATTTATACATTTAATCCTTAATATTTATATATTCTCTTAATTTGGTCTTAATTTAAATTTAATTTAATAAATTAAATATTTTTTCTATTCAATCAGGAGGTGGCACCACTCGATTGGATAGAAAATAAAGGAACACGAAAGTGCACCTAAGGGGAATCAAACCAATGTCCATAAGGGAAATGGAAAGCTCCCCAACCACGCATCAAAACTACCCAGTGGTTTAAAACTTACAACAATTTTTATTTATCCTTTAAAAGCTTGTTAATGGTAAAAGAAAGTAGAAGTAAAAAGAAATTAGAATTAGAACCTAGAAAAATTATAAAATAAAAGCTTTTACTAAATTGTTGATTATAAAAAATAATTTAAAAGCTTTAAATCGAAATTATTTAAAAATAAAAGATAAATTTAAAAACTGCTAAGTTCATATAATGTCATTAAAATCACGATTATTTTAATATAATGGCGTTAAGATTTTCTTTTTAAATTCTAGAAAAAAGGTCAATGTTTGGAAATCTTCAAAAACAAAGTTAATAATAATAACAAATATATAAAGAATTATGTAATAATAAATGTTGGGTAGGGTTGTAAAATCGGGTAATCGTTCAGGTTTCAGTCGGATCCTATCAGGTCGGGTAAAATCGGATACATGTCAAGTCAGATAAATTTAATGCTTCGAATTAGATAAGGTTGGGTCCAGGTCAAATCAGGTCGGGTCATTTTCAGGTTGATTTGACATAAGGTACAGTTCGGGTTCAGGTCGGGTTACTTTCAGTTTGGATCAATGCCAGTTCAGGTCCGAAGATGTTAAAAAGTAGGTTAATTCAAGTTCGGATAGACTTCAGGCGGATCTTGTTCAGATCGGGTCACATCATTGGCAGATAAAATTCAGGTCGGATCTCTATCAGATACGGATTGAGTTCAAATCAAGTTAATTTTTATTTTTGGATTAATTATTTTCGTCTTTCGCGAACGTTGAATTGCAATTTGTAATTGTATATGATTTAGAGTAAATTACTAAGAATATAAATAATCATGGTTCAATTTTATGAAAAATACAAATTTAAGAATTAAATTGAACAAATATGAAATTACAAATAAAACTTTAAATAAATTAAACAACACACATTGATGAGGGATCAAATCAAAATAATTTTAAATTGTGAGGTTGAAATTAATACAAAAAGTACTAAATTATACCCATTTAAAAAGTTATGGGCCAATTAAAAAATAGAAATAAGTAATAAGAATGGGTCAATTTCAGATGCAAATAAAATTTGGAGGACTAAATTGAACAAATATAAAATTACAAATAAAAATATAAATAAATTAAACAACACACATTGATGAGGGATCAAATCAAAATAATTTTAAATTGTGAGGTTGAAATTAATACAAAAAAGTACTAAATTATACACATTTAAAAAGTTATGGGCCAATTAAAAAATAGAAATAAGTAATAAGTATGGATCAATTTCATATGCAAATAAAATTTGGAGGACTAAATTGAACATATATGAAATTAAAAAAAATTTAACAATATACATTGATAAGGGATCAAATTGAAATAATTTTAAATTTTGAGGTTGAAATTAATACAAAAAAGTACTAAATTATACTCATTTAAAAAGTTATGGGACAATTAAAAAGTAGAAATAAGGAATAAGTATGGTTAATTTCATATGCAAATAAAATTTGGAGGACTAAATTGAACAAATATGAAATTAAAATAAAAAATCAAATAAATTAAACAACACACATTGATGAGGGATCAAATCGAAATAATTTTAAATTGTGAGGTTGAAATTAATACAAAAAAGTTCTATATTATACCCATTTAAAAATTTATGGGCCAATTAAAAAAAGATATAAACAATAAGTATGGGTCAATTTTAGATGCAAATAAAATTTGGAGGACTAAATTGAACAAATATAAAATTGCAAATAAAAAATTAAATAAATTAAACAACAGAAAGGGATCAAATATGAAAAATATTGTAAAATGGACTAAATTACATTATTTCAAAAGTTGAGAAAAATTTAAAACAACTAATATATAATATAAACTATATAGTTTATATATAAAGTATATGTATTATATATATGAACTATATAGTTTATATATATATTATGTATAAACTATATATACCATGCATAAACTATAATACTATATAGTTTATATATGAACTATTGAACTATATAGAAACTACATAGTTTATATATAAATTATATATAAACAACACAATTTATATTTATATATTATGTATAATTATAAATGTAGACACCTAATTTCGTCCGGCTCGATTCGATTTATATTACTGTTATATAATATATTTATATTACATATTGGTTTACGTCATTTAATATGGTACATACATAATACATATTTTATGTTTTGCACCATGTCCAATATTACAAATCAATCAAGCAAAGAAGCCAAGCAGTCCAGATGCGACCCGATTGGACCCCGACCCAAGATCTGGCTCATCCCAAACCGAACCAACATGAAACATCTAGGGTTTTCAAACCCTAGCCAACCTCTGCAACGTCCGCCGCATCCTTCTCCCCTTCCCCTCAAGCAAGCGTCGTATCCCTCGCTCGGTCAAACCAACAGCCTCACCAAATTTCCCGACGATTTCTCGGCACCCATATCATCAATAACCAACAAACGAGGAGCTTTAGTCCAATTAGGACTCTAAACCGAACCTAAAATAAGGATATGAAGCACTATAAATAAATGAAGAAACACACATGAACGGGGAGATTAGGAGTCCATTCGCACAAGAAATCATCAGCAAAGAAAATACAGAGATTTCGATGAGCTAAAAAAGAGATAACCATAAAATCACAAGGAAGAAAGAGAAACTTACCTCGGTCAAACACCGTTGAAAGCCAATGTCGCCAGAGCTGAAGGTTTCCTCCCCAATCTGCGGCGATTGAACCATTTTCAGGCCAAACGGAGCCCAGATCCGTGATCTGGGCCACGAGACGCTTCTGGTGATGCTGTTTTTATCTTCTCTGACGTCGACGTACGGTGGCGGCCGCCGGCTAGTGGCGGCCGATACGACGGTACTCTCCACTGGCGTTGAGCTTCGGTTGAAGCTTTGGAGAGAGTTTTCTCCTTTCTCTCTCTTGGTCTCTCTTATGTA